AGGGACCATCTGAGGGCCCTGGCGCCAGAAGTCATGGTTTCCTAAGCGGGTAGAAAGAATCATGAAAAAGGAAGTGACAAGTGACACACTTCATTTATTCAACAATTTTGCATTTTTAAAGAAACTCCTCCTGCAGGGCTCTGCTCTGGGGGTTTCCTGGGGAGAATTTCAAAATTCTAAACAGCATGTCAAGACAATTATTAAGAACCTACAAGTTCATCCTGGCTTCCCCAGGAGTTACCAGCCTTACAGTGATGTCTGCTCTGTTTCAAGTCCCACACGTTAAGCCTCTCTGGACTGAGGTCAGATCCACCTTTCGAAAAGTTTTTTAACTATTTACAAAGTTTGGTTTGAGATCAAATAGAATTCCTATACCAAATCTACAACAGGAACTTAGTACTTTAAGCACGGAGTTGTAAGGAATGACGGTCAAGTAAATCTAAACTCTTCAGCAAGAAAGGAAAAGCTCTCTGCAAAATGACCCCAGCCTTCTCAACCACTCCTCACCCTAGTTATCTCCATGCTTTCAAGAATTTTTGCCTGGAATGCTCTTTCTCCTTTTTGTAGATATCTCTTTTATAATAATTAATGTATTTACTGTTATCTCTATTTCTTCTTTGTCTCTCTATTAAACTGACCGAGTCTCAACAGCAGAGAGCATAAAATTTTTATTCTCTCCGCAAATACATCATGAACTCTAAGTAAGTGCTAATCACCATGCTAGACCTCAGTGATACAACAGAAAACAAGGCAGACAAGACACTTGACTGCACAGAGCTTCTATTCCTTTTTTTTAAACTTGAAGTATAGTCAGTTACAATGTGTTGATTTCTGGTGTACAAGAGCTTATATTCTGAGGGATCTTTCTACCCCAGTGCCGAGCACATGGTAGGCGTGCAGTCAAGCCTGAAAGAATAAATGAAGGGTAAACGAAGCTCCTGCCAGGAATCTGACATTTAGTCGCTGTGATTAATACAGCAACACATTGGTGAAAGGCAATATAAAAAGACCTAACAGAAATAGAAAATCTTAAGTCATTTGCATTGTGGTTATATCCCAAGTCATTCTGCTATTGCTAATAGCTACTATTGAAAGTAACTGTCCAAACGGCAGGAAACCACATTCCTAGAACTTCAAAGAAAGATTACACACACACATACACAAAGTGTTCATTGTGACATAATACTAATTTCAATTAAAGAAATTATTACCTAAAAATTAACTAGTTCCTTATCTCAGTAAGGCATGACTGCTGACTTCTTACAGTGCTCCTTGAATTCACTGTGTCTAGAACATGGACATGAAGGTCACAAAAGGCTTTGTAGTCAGGAAAACACTATGCACTAACAGATTTTTTAACATGTGAGGAAAATGACAATAGAATAGTGTTTCCTAACATTTTTTACCCATAGAACAGTAATCCAATGAATTATTTGTTGAAAAGAGTATAGAGTCTGGAAAACATCACAAACAAGCCCCTCTCGGAGCTATGCAAAGCACACTATCATATTAATGTCTTTGAAAAGTTCTGAAGGAAAGAAATACACGGAACTTTATTGATTATCATTTCCCATGCTTATTTCAACTACCAAATTCTTCTTTCAAGGAATAGCTATTAAGTTAGTTTAGGAAAATCTGCTTTAAAGTTCAATTTACAATACCCTTCACTTACACTTACTCATTAGTGGTGATCTGGCAAACTAAGACATTCTCAAGAAAAACCAAGACTATAGTGTCAAGAAATAAAAATATTTTTTCCTATGAAAACATCTATAAATAAAAACTTGCTGCACAAGCAATAATCTTCCTCTAACATTCTGCGTTTTGTTTCTAAATGAAGTTACCACCTAACCACTAGATGGCAATATGATTCCACTTACGTTACAACCATACCCTGCCAGGATGCTCATCATTTAAACGGTATTTGAGTTTTCCAAGAATGTATATGTGCATTTTTTATTCATTTAGTCATCCCTTCAAACACCTATGAGGAACTTTTAACACCTTTATTGTGGTATAATTCCTGTATAGTTAACTACACATATTTCAGATGTACACTTTGATGTATTTTGATAGATGTATGAGGAACTTTTTTCTTTGGTGGGAGGAGGTAATTAGGCTTATATTATTTATTTTTAGAGGAGGTACTGGGGATTGAACCCAGAACCTCCTCATGCTAAGCATGCACTCTACCACTTGGGCTATACCCTCCCTGCCAGAGGAACTTTCAAGTTCTGAAAAATCTCATGGATGCTGGAGAAGAGGAATGAGACAGCTGTCAAAAATTATAATTCCTGGATTCCTGAGAAATAATAAGATGCTCCATCAATTTAACAACCACTTTTTGGGGGGAAAGAAAGAAAGAAACATAACTACATTAAATCACATATTGATTGCATGACACTTAAAATTTTAAATAGTTTAATTTTTTCTGTTAAGCCATTTATTATGTAACACATTTTTAAATCTTTTTTAAATTCTTACTTTTTATACATGAAAAAATTTTGTAGATGTGAGAAGATACCGTGTTTGGAAAGCACTGTGATAGACAAGTACCCAAGAAATTAACACAGTCTGAACTAAATGGCCCAAAGGTCACAGGTTGTGTGACTCAGAAGTTAGTTTGAGGGGAGGGTACGGCTCAGTGGTACTGTGAAGGAAAAACCGGGCTGATCTAACAAGATAACTCACAAATCTAAGTATTGGAATACTGATCTGAGTTCTGCTAGACTAACTTGTAAATCTAGGTTAATTAGTGTTGGTTTGCTGTTCATGTTTTTTGCTAGCCAGCTGGGTTTTCAAAGATACATATCTGGCTTTGGAATGTTGGTTTGCTGCTTTTGTGATGATAATGATGCTAAAGCTGTTCCATGCCTATTGACCGAATACCCCAAGCTTGTACTTTACCCTATAAAACCTCTTGCGCACGTCTTGGAGGTGCTCAGAGCTTGGGAGCAGAAGCCCCTCTGAGCCCGCC